TGGCGGACGATACCGTTTGCAGTTCCGTTACCAATGCTGTTCCCATGTCCCTCCCAATGGTACCCGCCCTCATCCTTCCATCCGACTCGACACCGTTCGGAGACCGACTGACAAACTTTCTCCCTGCATGGGAAAATATCACCTCAGATGCATGGGTTTTAAAGATTGTCGACGAAGGCTATGCATTGGAGTTCGAAGAGCTCCCACCAACGGGGCAGATTGTCAACACCGAGCCATCCTCGGCGATCCTGACAGAGGTCGATACCTTGCTCCTGAAAGGGGCAATTTCCCCTCTCCCGGACTCTCAAAACCATCGAGCCTTCTTCTCCAGATACTTTACTGTCCCAAAGCCGGATGGCTCCCTTCGCCCCATCCTCGATCTCAGGGACTTAAACTCCTTCATCGAGCCTCGGAAGTTTCGGATGGTGACGGTATCGTCCATTCTCCCCTTCCTCAGATACGGGGACTTCTTCGCGTCCGTTGACCTCCGGGACGCGTATTTCCATCTTTCCATCAGAAAGCACCACAGGCGCTTCCTGGCATTCAGGGTAGCGGGACAGACGTACGTGTTCAACGTCCTCCCTTTCGGTCTCGTGACGGCCCCGAGGACCTTCACAAAATGCATGTCGGTGGTCGCAGCGGCCCTCAGAAGGGAAAAAATCCACATTTTTCCTTACTTAGATGACTGGTTGTTGGCAGCACGCTCCCCGGACCTTCTGCGAGCGCAGGTGGCAAGGACACTTTCTCTCCTCGAAGACCTGGGCCTCCAGTTAAACGAGGAGAAATCCCACCTCGAGCCCACCACTTGCATAAAGTTCATCGGCGCCATGTTCGATTCTCTCTCCCAGACAGTCTTCCTTCCGGAGGAGAGGTTCAGGGCTCTTCGAGCCGAAACACTCAAAGTCCGCCGCTCCCGTGTGGTCCCGGCGAAACAGATACAAGTCCTCCTCGGACATATGGCTTCCACGGTGATGGTAACGCCATTGGCAAGACTCCGCTTCCGCCCCCTCCAGAGATGGTTCTTGGACCACTTCAACCCCATGCGGGACAGTGCCGCAAAGCGCCTGCTGGTACCGAAGTCGGTAAAGGACTCTCTGAACTGGTGGATGAACCGCCAGCATGTCTGCAAGGGCATTCCCTTTCACCCAGAGCCCCCGGCCGTCACGATCACGACGGACGCTTCGATGTTCGCATGGGGATGCCATACAGGAGACCTCTCAGTACACGACCTCTGGTCTCCTCAGGAAAAACAGTTCCACATCAACTACTTGGAACTACTAGCAATCTTCAAGGCCCTGAGGGCGTTTGCACTCCTGATCACGGGAAAGTCTGTCCAGATCCTCACGGACAACATGGTGGCAATGTTCTACGTGAACAAGCAGGGAGGAACGGGCTCGAGAAAACTTCTCAAGCTGTCACTAGAACTTTGGGACTGGTGTGTGGCCAGGTCGGTGTCGATAACAGCCTTACACCTCCCGGGCGAAGTCAATATCGAGGCGGACGTACTCAGCAGAACCAGGGCAACATCCCACGAGTGGAGGCTGAACCCCGACGTACTGGCGGAGATCTTCAGGGTATGGGGCCTCCCAGCCGCAGATCTCTTCGCGTCGCCGCAAAACGCTCAGCTTCCTCAGTTCGGTGCTCGACTTGC